GGATTCCACACGTAGTACCCGCGAGCTGGCACAGGAGCTTAATAGCCATCACAAGACAGTAGCTGCCCACTTGCATCGCCTCAGAAAGACATGGAGATGCGGAGTATGGATACCTCATGGGCTGTGTGGTGTGCAAAATGTACAAAGACTTATGCGTAAACCTAATATATTGCCTACACCTATGTCGCCCAACGATCGGGAAGAACCATGTCAGGTCCATGTTACGACTGAAAACGGACAAGTTATGATACCTTGTGGGAGACAGACTAGATTGATCCGTGTTGATTGGAGGATCGATGTAAACAGTAGCAGCAGACTCCCTAGTGTCAGAGCACTTCCTTGAGTGAGCGCGTCCATGCGCATTTCATGATCATATAATGTATGTACATATATGGTTGTGTAACTCGCAAGAAAGGGAATTACTTTGTGCTTCGAGAGTTACCAATAAGAAAACACACCAAGAAACCACGAAAATGTAGTGAATTATGACCATAGTTTTTCGAGCGCAAAAAAATGTGGCGTTCTGGGCAATACACCTTTCCACTTGACATCATGAAGTTATAGTTTTAAATAAAACTTCAACTTCTGGACACATATTACTTGCGAAATTCTAGAGGAAATATCCAATTTACATGTTTGTTTTTTAATATTCGGCTTGTTATTTACTTACATTAAGCATTGCTCGTTTTGGTTTTTAACTTATGTAGTCTTTTTGACTGGAATTTTTTTTATTTCCAGGTTACGTCTACGTGAAATCAAGAAAAAATAGAGAGGAAACGTTCAACGATGTAAAACTTCAAACGGAGCTCGTCATGGATGCTTTCCTTGTGAGTTATCTCAGTTGCTTTTTTTGGACGGGGGTAAGAGGGTTGGGGAAACGAATGACGAGGGAAACTTTTGAAAACCCCTCTGACAGAGTAAATTATTCTTTCTCCTTTTTCGCAAAAAAAAACGGTACTGTTGGCCCACGGGCTGATACTGTATTGTCGCAAAATCGCTCTAACAAATTGGGATTGCACATGGTCAATTTTTCGATATAACTAAATTATTCTAGAAAAAAATGTTGTCATCATTGACATGGATGAAAGGATCATATCAGACAGCAGAGAAAAAAAGTAAGTTCGAACCATGATTTGTCAGCAGCGATTATCACATATTAATATCGACAAGTATCATTTACAAGTATTACGAAATATTATCGAATAAGCCAAAGTACAAGGAATTGAACAAAATTTTTCAGTCAAAGAAATGCATAGAAACTATGGATGGCCCAGGGAATTATTTGGTGATTTCAAAAACTCTTCTACTATTGATAATTATCACAAAGTAAGTGGTCATTGTATTTTCGACTTTTCGACAATTTTCTCAAAAATTTATTCAGCAAGACTATTATCCTATTCTCGAAGCCTACAAAAAGAATGGAAGCTCTTTTTCCACAATACTGAGTATTTTGAAGAAAGGAAAGGAAAATCGAGAAATGTTTCGGCTAATTAATGTTCCGGCTGACAGGTGTGAGTTTGATAAATCCATAAAAACCTTTCTAAACCTTAATTTCAGGACGGTCTTCCTTCTTTCGCCAGCTGCGGCTGATGCTTGGTATCAGCATGAGCGAAATTCATTAACTATTCCTTACGGAATACTAACTCCACCACAATACAAGTAAGCAGTATGAACGAGCGATAGTATCTAAGGAAGGAGTCCACTTCTACATATGCAGACTTGACAGACAGACAGACAGACAGACAGACAGACAGACAGACAGACAGACAGACAGACAGACAGTCATTCAGACAGACAGACAGAGAGACAGAAAGATATGCCAACAATCGGTTAGATAGACAGTCATAGCGCTATGACTTCTTTCCGCAGCCTTTTACTGTTACTATCAAAATTTTATCGAAATGGCCAGTGTGTAACCATTTTGAGTCCATTATTGCCAACGGTCACTAAGTACCATAAGTTTTTTTGCAGGTTGGGCTTCCCCAAGTATATAAACTTTGCCGGTCAAGCCGGAACTAGCGGTCATGAGCTTGTACATGGATTTGATGATAGAGGTGAGTATTAGGGTATTCATATTATGTATGTATCATATTATGTATGATATATACAGCGAACTGATTATCTCACGGTTACTGCCGCACGATTCAACAAGCCGTTATTCGGATTGACACAGTGACCGACAGACAGACAGATAGACAGGTAGACAGACAGGGAAACAGACAGAGGGGCATTGGGAAAATCTGCTGGAACCTCTTCAACCCTTAACTGGTCTTCTTGGATTTTTGTATCATTTCATAGAAATTCTATGGGTGAAGCAAGTCTTAGCAAATTTACAAACTCATTAACATTCGCTAAACCTGCAACAGTTCATTGAAACTCTACTGTACTGATAGAGGTTCTTGGACTGGATAAGCATAGCTGGAGTACTTCTGCAAGTGCGGACTTACGGTAATTCACTTATGTATGGAGGTTCCGATAGTGCTCCTGTAGCTAGTCCACTGCCGAAATGTCTCCGCTTTGAAACTCTCTCATACATGAATAAGTCAATTCCAAGGAATAACTCCAATGTACATTTTTGTTCAGCCCATTCTCTGAGTTGTTATAAAAAAAACTTTTGAATTTTGACTTCCTGATGGTGGACGGATTTTCAGCTACTGCTATTTTGTATATTCTACTGAGCCTAAGGAAAGCAGAATCTTTCTATTGCCTGTGGTTTCTTCAAATCACTTGATTAAGGTGTTCAATTTGGCCCTGACGGGAGCCTATCCAATTGTAATACATCATTCGAATGTGGATGGATGGATCGAAAGGGTAAAACAGGATTCCGAGATATGGCACAATGTCTTGTGGAACAATACAAGTACGAAATTTCACTGAAGTTTTCGTCCCTACTCGTAGAACTCATTAGTTGACCTCTGGTGACTGCTGAACAGAATCACGGTACTTTTTCGAAAAGGAAAGAGGAGGTGTAGTGGCAAATGGTGCACTATGACATGATCCTGGTTTGACTATCGGGTCGGTATTCGCCCGAGCAACCAAGCCTTTCATTACTACGGGATCGGTCAATAAGAAGCAGACTCCTCTGATAGAATGAGGGCACAGACTCATACGTCGGCTAATCACCGGCACACGCACTCGAACCGCCACACCGACTCTGATCGGGAGCGAGGGCGGGGTTGCTCCTCAAAAATGGGTTTAATTATCCTTGATAGTCCTCCTCCATGAGTTTTGCTTCAATAAAAAGCTCAAGCAACGTTCCTCTCCCTCCTTTTCCTCAGAATCTCTCTCGAATTCTCCAATATGCCTTGTGTCTTTTCAGCACTCACTGTTGTCCCAAGAAAGAGGATGGAAGTGTTCTTTGCGCCGATGGTGCGACTATAAAGGGAGAAAATATCGCCGACCTCGGAGGTCAGTTCCCAAGTGTTTGATTGTGTGAAATATGTTTTCAATTTCGGCAATTTGAAGGTGGTAATAGGCTTTTCCATTCAGGTCAACAAGCAGCTTACTATGCCTACCTGGAGTACATAAAGCGAAAGGGTGAAGAGGAAAAGAGGTGGATTTTATTGTTTTCTTATGAGCAATGAATCCTTTTATATCTGATCCTTTCGCTCAGGCTTCCGGGACTGGAAAAATTCACCCCAAATCAGTTATTCTGGATCGCTTATGGTTACACGTGGTGCGCAAAAGAAACAGATAGTAGTCTTGTCAAAGGGGTACGGTAACGTTCATATGAATCAGATTTTTGCCATGTAAAAAATGTATAGATAATTCCAGATATTTTTAAATACGCATGCACCGAATTCTTGCCGAACAAATCAAGTACTACAGAATATTCCAGAATTTGTTAAAGATTTTCAATGTAGTATTGGTCAAAAAATGTATCGGCCACCTAAGGAACGTTGTAGGGTGTGGGTGGAATGACAGATTTAATAAATCTCATCTATTCAACCCAAGGTATTCAACCTAAGCTGGAACTTCTGGAACATCCCCAACGATAACTTCTTTATGTGACCCAAAAACAAACGATGCCTAGGACGCTTACCCCATTAGAACATATGTAGCTTAGCCGTTGAATACCTTGAGTTGATAGAGTGATGCTACTGTTTGCTGAATATTCCATGTGTGCCTCAAATAAATTTTGTGTCATGGTTCGATTTCACAAATTCTTAACTGCAAGAAATGCTCCTTTCGAACACCAGGCTCCCATTAGTCCGTTTTACATGGGCAGTCATAGGAAGATCAACGAATTTTTTTATAAAAAAAATTCATGTTAGGCTGTCGAACGCTGGACGCTGGAATCAGAAGAAGGCTTCTACTTATCATTCTGCTTACTATTTTCGAAACTGCGGATTGCAAAGCTCTTTTTTCACAAGCAAAAGTACCGTACTCTAATAAAGCTCCAAGGAGTTAGGCAAAAAGCAGGGCCAAATAGCGAGAGATACGCTCTTTGATGTAGGCAACGAAAGCAGGTTCCGTAACTGATATCAACGCAAAGCGGTGGATGGAGAATTTCAAGATCACTCAACACTGTTATTAACTACGGAGGCTCACCGTGGTATTTTTTACGGAGGTGCAGCTGTAGTTGAGTCAAGCGAGGCCCTATCACACTCATGGACTCACGGTCTGGGGATCGAATCTGGCAATGATAGGATGGAATCCTGCAAGTATACCTGCTCAGTTACCAGAGCTTCTGTATAGCGAGATAGACAGTGGAATTAAACACCGGGATAGCTGATAGATAACAACTCTTTGGGGAGAATGGAATGCACTGCACAAAGTAATTGTTCAGGGCACACACACAGTCAAAACACACTACGATTCTGAATAGAAGTCAAGTACGAGGCGCATTCCCAAATGGGATCGATCAGCGCCATCCTTCATTCTAATGTGCCACGAAACATTCTATGGAATTAAGATAATGCAAGATGTCAAAAAGTATTATCTGACTTTGATAAGTGAGCATCCTGTTGCCTATGATTCTCCATGACTCAACATTGAGAATTCCAATATGATGATCAAGAGGCGAAACGTCCAGTTTTTTGCCTTTTTTTCTCTCATATACTAACTTATTACTTATGTCTCTCTCTAATCTATCGGATGGGATCTTCTGATTCCTTTAGCTCTATTAATTTACCCTTTCCATAGTTTCGTTGGCCTTCACTGACATCAGTCGGAGCGGTTATGCAGTTTTGAGGGTCATCTGCTTCAAAACTTCCGATATTGGTGTACCTGCACTGGGCATGATGGAAAGCCTTTTTAGCAAATGGCAGGCGCCTTCGAAGAAGGAAAAATTTCAATAAACCTTTTCTTTACCCGGTTTCATCCTTCATCCCTGCAACATTTGCAACATATGTGCTCTATTTTGGATGGTGCTCGCTTTCGGAAGGCCAATGAACACTTCCTCACTTAAAGGTATTGAGCAGCAGTGGGCGACACCAGTTTTTGAGCTCCTATATCGTCCCAGCCAGATAACAAGCAAGCGAGAGTTTAGGTTTTTTCATGCCACGTACTGTCACATGCCACCCCGCTGTTCGCAGGCCTTTTCACTCAGGTCATATACGGCTGGCATACTGGTGCTGCGAAATTGAAGACTCAAGTTTTTCTTGACAAAAATAGGGTCGCTTAATCTACGCACTACAGCATATACGCTAGTAGAACATCTTCGAATAAGACATTAGATTTGTCCCCACATTAGACGAATAAAGCCATGATATGTCAGTCTATTCCGTGCTACCAAAAATGTCGAGCAAGCCACAATGAAAGAGAAAGAAACATAAATTATTTGGGAGCAAACTTTTATTAATTAATTGTATGCGATTCGTTTCGCCTCTGAGTCAGACGAATCACTTCGCTTTGCACCTACCCCCGATTCTCGTCGGTGACTAGGGGTGGGTGAAAAACAATTATAATATGTGAGTAGTGGTATGAATAAATAATTGCATTAGTATAGGAGAGTGTATCGAGAAATATTACTTAACAAAAAGAAGTCATCATAAATTAATAGTGATAGAGAATAGTAGAATAATAAAGTAGAAAAAAAAGGATAAGTATAGACAGGAACAAATTAGAATTCTTAAACAAACAACTAATATACGAGTAAACAGTCTCTATTTGAGGAGGAAAAATCAGGTGTAGAAATTGGATATTATAGGATAAGAATGAAAAAGAGAATCATAATGTCATAAATAAGGAGAGACTAATACAAAAAACAGGGCTCACCAAACATTTATTGCTGATTTTGGGTAGTCCACAACAATAAGGAAAATGGGTTTACATTCAGTAGTAAGCTAAGTGAGTAAGCTTCTTTTCAGCCACTTTTCGAAGTCACAGCTCACAATATTTTTGAGTTACTTACATATTTTGTGTAAAGGGTAACAAATTGAAGTTAGTGGAACATAAGAAACAACGATATGCAAACGCATCAGATAGACAAAGTAACCAGACCGACTAAAGACGGCTCGTTTCATTTTAACAATGAAGATGGTGGCGCACATTAGTGCTTTGAAGGCGAAGAAAGTAAGAAACCCGCAAAATTTGCTTCTAGAAACTATGGGACCTTCGAGTTGCTATTCCTTGCTATTGTCGTCCTTTTGTTATTATTTTTGTCCATGATATTGTTGGTGGTGTTGTTGATGGTATTCATTGGTTATGTAACTAACTATTGCTCTTATTGATCAGCCGTTTGAGTTGTCAACAAATGTGCTCTAGTGTGAATGGTGCATCTCTGCAATGCCCCTAAAACGCTGCACCTTCTGGGTGTGGCATACAACGAAGACGATCTTTAGGACCTTAGTACTCCCCTTCTATTCCGACCTAACAGCGGCCCTCGTGCTATTCCAGAGATCCACAGATTCTTTTTAAGGAGAATCTCAGAAACTAGCGTGAACCCTGCATTCAGAGTGATACAGTTTGTATAGAGAGCTTCAGCTACTGTTCTTTCAGTGTTCCTGAAAAATCTCTGTTTCTTGGGAGCAATTATCGACTATACCCTTTCTCGACGCTTACCTGTTTTCGACCGAATACTGCAGCAATTGGAGAAGTTTCTGATCTCGAAACTGATGGCTGTGAGAAATAAGAGCCATGCCTTATTACAGAAATCATTCGTCAAATCGACATTTGTTCACGGCACTAGTTGAGCAGGATTCGCTTCTTACCTTTTGTAGGAGACTGTTGATAGGAATTACCAAGCCGCTTTGGAGGTGCGGGCTGGTCACAGGTACTCTCAGCATTGATAACATAGAGTAAGTACTGGGACACTAAATTCAACTCGATGCGGAGATGAGAAGCACCATAAAGACACAGTTCCAATAAGAATGGTTTCTTAGAATTCCTGTCAGGGTTAAGCAGTGGCCCCCAAGGAAAACAGTGTTGACGTTATTGGGCCCGAAAACTCAAGAACTAGGACATAATACGAGGCACACCGAATAGCAATGCCACGCCCATTCACTGAAATTTCGTCAGAAGAGTGTAGGGGCGGCACAGGCTGCAGTTTTCGCACCAGGACCCACTCATTCAGCATACAATCTGCTGGTCGTGGAGCAGAGAGGTAAAGTTTTACTCCAATTCTGTTACTCTCTGCTGTTCTTTTTGCTGCTGCAGTCATTCTACAGATTTTCTGCATGATTAGCTGCAGCAGAATATCTACAATGCAAAAGAATAATAGAAGAATCTGAGATCGGTTCTTAAACGGCAATATAGTCATTTGTATGTAATTGCACACATTGCAGGAAGCTTTTTTCCAATTACCCCTTTCACGCAATTTTTTCTCCCTTAAACTCGTCCAAAACACGGTTTCATTACTTGTTTCCTTTGTTTTCTTTGGGTTCGCCGATTCTGGCACTCTTTTCACCTCACTTGCACTGCTCTGAACGAACACTTTCATTATCCAGCGAAAACCGGTTACCCAAAAATTGTCGTGAACGGTGCCTTTATTAGTGTATGTTTAGGCGGAACTGCCTTTTTCAGAGCTTGGAAGGATGAGAATGGTTTGTGAGCCCATCGGAACAAACATCTCAGCACCCGACAAGTCTTCCATTATCAACTATTCAATATGAGTTGAATCAATCAACTAATTATGTAAATATGCCGAAACTAATTGAGAGCCGTACAAGGAGATAGTAAGTAAATACTTTCAGAAACGGGTCACTCGATGCATTCGTGTTTTTCATGTCCAGTGCATTCCTCAGATTGGAGGGAGTGAGATTTCTCTGATAACGAATTATCATTCTTTGCTTCGGTGATGTCGAAGATTCATTTACTTGGCGCTGGTATGTTTACACTATTTCAATAATTGAGTTCAACTTTGTTCAGTGATGAGCAAAAAGTAGACTATGCACTGTTAGATATGTCTCAAACTGCTAGATACTTCAATTCTCAGAATGTTTTTGCTCTTACTTCCAAAGATGAATAGTTTTAGAAGAGTTTATTAGATGAAAGTGATATTCCTTAACTCTATTAACTCTCGGCGTTCAAGGTTACACAAAGTTCGGAGTGGAAATTTTTCGGAACCGCCTGTGAACACTTCCACACCCTCGACTTCCGTTCAGAATCGCGGTGGTGTCCGAATGGGTGTGACGACTATTTCAGGAATTGCAAGAGCCGAATTGCCCAATCGACATGTTCAGCGAACACATATATCTTTTTAGACAATTCTGGTCCCAGTTGCTCGGCCCAGAGGATTGAAGGAGTAGGAGGGTCTACGCGATAAGTTATACACATAGTGGTACACGATCTCGATCCCCATGCCATGCGTTTGGCGGGACGTCACTTATAGATTCCCTTCTCCTGAATCTAGGGCATGTTGACGTTTAGAAGGGTATTTGAATTACAGAATGACAGGTTTGAGCTAGGGAATCTACTAGTCAGCATTTATATCCTTCTAGGTCGGTCCAGAACCGAACAACCTATCTTGGAGAGATATCGGAATGTGGAATGTGGATTTGATTGACAGGCAGTTCACTAGTGAGATAGCCGCAGCATTCGACAGTACCCTACTTCCTTGTCATCTCGTATAGCTCCTGTGGGAATGGTGTGAAAACATAGAAGTTTCTCATTAAGTACAACTGAGTGATTTATGAAGACGATGGGAGGCTTATGTTTATTGATTGAAAAGGTGATAACGGTGATAAGAAGCAGTGCCACTAAAAAAGCATCGCTTCTTTACATCCTTTCATTGAGCTGTATGAGTTGACTCGGGTAGATTAGGGGCTGTACAGTATGAATGGAAAGAGCGCGTTCCTGGTAGCTGTAAAGAGAGTAAAGGTGATACACCTGTTAGCTAGCTTTTGGTAGAGGACAGACTTAGGCATTCCGTGTTCATTACCAAGATGCAGGACTCCTGTTAAGAATTCATTGGCCTCAAACGTTCACTTTCTTGGCATGGTCCCCCCCTCCCTCCTCCATTGTATTCAGCATCCAGCAACTTCCACTCAGAGTAATAGTGGCCACTGAATGGTATATGGCCTATCCAATGACTTGCAGAGGCCAGCCGATGCTCGGGTCAATGATTTCCCTCTTAGACTTGTGCAGTACCAGGAATCGAACCTGGACGGGTGATGGTACCANCCCCCCCCCCTCCCTCCTCCATTGTATTCAGCATCCAGCAACTTCCACTCAGAGTAATAGTGGCCACTGAATGGTATATGGCCTATCCAATGACTTGCAGAGGTCAGCCGATGCTCCGGTCAATGATTTCCCTCTTAGACTTGTGCAACACCAGGAATCGAACCTGGACGGGTGAAGGTACCAGACCTGGTATTCGTACCCCTGAGAGCCATGATACAAAATTGATTCTGACAAGATTAATCCCCACGCCGGAATCGCTCACGCTCTCATGGGATTGCTACAAATCCGGCAATATTCGCTCCTATCAGCACACATTTTACCTTAGCAGTTTACTTTATTTTCTTTCATTTGAACATTCTTTCCATCCACATTACGACAAAAGAGTTTCTTGTACTTTTTTTGAACTTGACGTTGCCCATTTCAGTTGTGTTCCCATTCAGGCGCGACAGCGTTAGTAGGCGCCATCGTAGTGGCGTCACTGGTTCTCAATGTGTTCACCTATATTCGTATGAGAGACACTCCAAAGAAGGAAAAAGTCCCTCTTTCTACTAGTCGGTCTCCTCTTACACCATATACTACTCTCACTTCTACTAATCGAATAGAGACTACAAGTTATGCAATAGAGACTACAAGTTATGGAAATGTGGATAATGTTTTCTGTCCAAACGTCGGAAATGCTAACAGAACTAAAGAATGGAAAGTGAGTTGCTATATAATCAAGTCTTTTTTTGAAACGCTGAGCCTCTGGGAAAATGAAAGCAGGTTCGGGGGCTTATTCTCGCTAACGCCGATGTGAGAAGTTATTCTCGATTAACAGGCCAAAAAGAAATACTTGGAGAATTTGTCTGTGTAGAGCTGGGAATATAACAGGCAGGATGGTCAAGGAGAAGGCATCGGAACTTAATGTGAACTAAGTAACTGATCTGAACTCAATCCGCAACGGAATAGTGCTCCAATTGTTTTGCCTAGGCTCCATTGTGCTAAGACACGCCTTTCGTGAAGCGCTCCGCCCCTCCACCCTCTCATCCGTCCGTAACATATTGCCAGTTCGGTTATTGGTTGCTTCTTATTCTTGCCAATCAAAGAATGCTCCCGCTGTATCCTTCCTTACTCCAACACACACCTTTTGAGTCATTTCCTAGGATAAGCTGCCAAAATAAGAAAATCGCATGGTTTTATTTTGACTGAATTTTGCGCTTCATCTTCTCCTCCCCTAATGAACAAAAAAAAACTTTTTCTATCTTATTCCAACCATCCCTAAATATTCTGGAAATCATGCTACAGTAATACCCCACAGTGAACCGTATAGCTCATATTCTGAAGAAAAACAATTTACGTAGGGAATGTCCCTTTTTCTGCGAGCACTTTCTGTGAATGGAATGTAGAAGGGAAGCTAGCAGTGAGGAGAATGGAGACATAAAAAGGGAGATATCAAGGTTTGAATGGCAATTATGTAAAATAAAAAGTAGTTGGTTGGCCAATCAGCGGCATTTGCAGAGACAAACGCTTTTTTGCTCAAAATTTATCAAAAATGCTCAGTAATTCTCTCATTATCCTGATTTTCAGGATGCCGCAAATACACTTTTATTTGGATTGGACGAAAGTGTCGATCCATGTGAAGATTTCTACGGTTTTACTTGTAACAAGGTACGTTTGATCGATCTCTCCTATTCATCTGACTTCTTCTATGACCATAAGTGGGATGGCTCCAAAATTGGAGGCTACAACTATTTGTAGTCGTGCACGAATTTCTATGGAAACGAAATCTAGCACCGCATCCTAGCTCCTACAATAAATCCTTGGGTCCTGCCTCGAACATCTGTCAGTGATGCTACACAGCTAGGTGGCTAATCCATCACCTCCCCCCATTTACTTTCACACAATGTTTCCTTTGCGTTGAGATCATACAATGAAAAAGATGTGGCGGGATTCGAGTGGATGTCAATGTAGATGCTGACTTTCAAAGTGTTTTATGGCTTCCATAGTGGTGAAGGCGTGAAAGTGACCGCTCTCGTCGTCCCTCGACCTTTTCTCCAATCTCTCTTTTTTGGAAACTGGAAAGATGCAGGAGTTCACATCATGAAGGAAGAGGACGAAATCTCTAGGGCATGAATTTTGCAAGAGGCACGAAATCTCTAGGAAATGAATCTTCATTGACGAGTCCACCCCGAAAAGGACGTGTCATACGGCCTTGTCTCGGAGAATAAGTCAAGTATTGTGGAATGATACAAGGAGAGACAGTATCGCTTTTGAGCACTTAGAGAGTGGATCGCTTGAAATGGAGCAACGTCGGGTGAAAAAAGGAACCTCTTTCATGCTGCTTCCAATGCTTTGTCTATCACTAACCATCCCGATTGCCAGAGTTCTACCAGCGGCGTTGGTCTGAGCTCTCGCTTTCAGTTACATAAAAGTTAAAAAACGAATTGCGTTGGCAAGGGCCAAATTCTGGGCATTTTCCATCTCCTCGTCTAATCGTTTCCTTTTTTCCCAACTTTTTTTCTTTTCGACCTTATTCGGAATATTGTTTATTTGACAAGTTATTTTATTTACAGTTTATCGAGCGGATTGACTTAGATGAACTTGGTAGGGGTCGTTTTACAACGTTTTCTCAAGCACAGCTTGAAGTCAATTCGGATATCGTGAAAGCACTTGAGAAGGTGGACGTCAACGATGAGAAGTTTTCGCAAACCGAACGGATCACCAAAGCTGTACGTGATAACATTGATTATTGGGGAACTGATAAGACAAAAGTGCATTAGCCAGTAATTACTGATGCAGAAAGTAAAAGTAGTGCCTGTCACATGGTGCATGTGTCTCTGAGACTTTAAAGGGGACGTTTCTCATAGGGAAACAACTGTGTGCCGCATAAATTACTCTCAATTCAGGCTTTTCAATCATGTGTCGAACACACGCTAAAGGACGACAGAAAGGCCAGCGTAAATGAACTTCTTCAGTATATACGTGACCGGTATGTAAGCACTTAACCTTGTTTACCTTATGCTGCCCATTTCCATGACTAAAGTTGAGTCCCCATAGAATCCGCTCCCTAGGCCTCCATAAAAGGGAAATAGAAGGATAAAGCGTAGAATCGTTCGGCGTTGATCAATCCCTTCTGAAGGATGCGCCCCGCACCCCCCCCCCCCCCCCCCCCCCCCNAACTAGTACCATACCAATTAATTGACCCAGGAGGGATGAGTAACCTGAAGAGACTTTTGTCGATAGATTACCAATCTGGATTTGATCCTTGGACTATACGTGGGTGGTAGCACATCACTTCACACTATTTCAACTCCACTCTCAAAATAACTTTGCTTTCGTGCCAGTCAATTCTTGCGACCAGCTCCTAGCGACTATGGTGATCCATGGTGTTATGGCTGTCACGGTACCGACTATGGTCGTTGCCGTGTTTGTGTTTATGTGCTAAAGCCATTCATGGGACAAGTTTTCTGAACACACATCTGGGGGCAAGTATATGTAGAGTGTCTATGGGGAGGGGGCCTAGATTCTCAGAATGCTGAACTAAAATAATTATAAGAAGAAAAAAAGTCTGCAAAGGGAATTTGTCGGAAAGAAGAATATCTCCACGTTTTTTTCAGATTCGGTGGAATCCCATTCCTCGGTCAGCGAGTAAAAGGTGGCTGCGAATTATTCAGAGAATTGGGGCGTGTTGAACAAGAACGAGCTTTGCCAACTTTCATGTATACATGGGTGAATGTTGACCATAAAAACGTCTCTAGAAACTCATATTATATCTCACAGGTAAGTTATTTCAAGTACAGTAAACTATACTTACGAGTATACGGTATGTCCGTAGAGTTGCAAAAATTGTTCATAGGGCCCGTATCTTGGAAGCCAACTAGTCTCCTCCTTGAACTTTCCCACGCCCATCGAAGTTTCCGATAGAAGCGGGGCACAGATAGCGAAAGTTTTCAGAAAGTTACAGGGCCAGCAGGCATAAAGTGTGCTACCGTAGCCGGCGCCTGACCCACTTGGGCACCACTCCCGCATTTCCTCCCACATGCGCTCATGTCGAGATATGATAGCCTTCTGGTCTTTTTAGGAGTAACTCCTAGTCACTAATTGAAGCCAAGAGTGATCAGCGATTAATTTAATCGATTCGATCGATCGATTCTATCAATCTCAAATCGTTAGCAGTCGATACTTCTGGTCAATGATTACTACTGGAATCATATTATTACCATTAGTAGGTAATTCCACTTTACCTGAAAATATCGTGAAAGGAACCCTGTCAAATTTAATCAAGCACCACCGGACACTATCTCGATTGGAGGGCACAAAGAAGCAGAGAAGAGGCGCAGTCCTATTGGTCCTTTTCCTTCAATTAC